TTTTCTATAGGATATCCCAGATTATCAGAACTGAAAATGTCTGCTTCCATGTTGATTTTGACCAAACACATTTTCATTCTTGTTTGAAGAAAATACTTCCTTAAAGTAAAAAACTCTAATATTTGGAGACAAATATTTGATATTTTGCTTTAACGTCTTCTTGATTTAGGCCATATCTTATTCTGTGATTACAGATTATATTTCTTAAAATTTGTCATTTAAGTCTTTTGATCTGATCAAATTTTGATTTCTCAACTGAATTGAAGAACGGTTCATAAAATTTCATTTTTAAGGTAGTGATGTGACACGATTGCATTTTGAATGGAAGCATAGCCAAAGGGATAAAATCAACAAGTAGATAGTCTGCCCCCAGGTACTCATTCAGAATTAATTTTTGACTAGTTTGAAGCCTAATCTTTTTACCAGCCCACATGTCCTGTGGTTCAAAGTCCTGCCTTTTCTCTCCAAGAGCTGTGTGGGTTCAGCACAACCACTCCATAAAGAGCATTTTGGAGGATGTAGCACGTGTAAGGAAGTCAGTAACAAGTTAAGCCCTGAATATCTGAAAACCCTCCTTGGGCATCTGCAAATGGCACTTCCCTAAAATTCCTTTCTACAGCCTGGCTATATTTCTGCAGAACCTCCAGAAATCATATCTCTGATCTCAGGCAAAAAACCCTGTTAAACTCCAGCAAATTCCACAACTTGAATGTGTTAAGATCTCTTTAGAGAAATGATTGAAGGGAAACTTTGAGAGTAATGATTCTCCTGAACCCAACAGGCAGAAGTCACACTTATGGATATGTAAAAAGATAAGGAGTTTACTTCTTCATACTGGATATTCCTTTCTAGCAAATGGATTGCATAGAAAATGTATATATGTATCTGCAAGTGCATGTGTGTGTGCCTGGCTAAGAAGCATTTCTAATATGCTATCAGATTAAGGTCCATCTAGGTGGGATTTTCCCCCCTCTTTTTTCCTATTTTGTTTCATCATGGATTTAGGTTATTGCCTGCCAGCATTCAGTGCCTGGAGCTTCCCTTCAGGCCCCAGGGGAAGTCCTGCAGCCCCACAGTGAGCAGTGCTGTGCTGTGCCCGTGCAGTGTGGGGCGGACATGGGGTGGCCGCTGTCATACTGCTGGCTGGAGGTGACACAACCAGCCTGGCTCCCAGGGGAAGAGGATGGGTATGTACCTCAGGCTTCTGGAGACTGTCCTCACGCCTAATTGATACTGGAGACAAAAATCCAATAGCTTCTGAACACTTTGTAGAAACACCTAGCACAGTCAAAATAATGACAGCACCAAAAGCTTGAATCGCAAAAATTTCTTGGGCTAAAATGGAAATAGACACTTGCAGAAGATTTTTCTTTCTTTCCTCAATATAAAGATTTGAAAGGAGGGAGAAGTATCACAAGATAGGTAATTCCTTCCAGAGAGGTTTCTTTATATATCTCCATGTGAGCGCTCTAGGTAAGGGAAGAAAAAAATAAAGTAATGCTCTGAAATAAAATTTGTACAGAGGTAGCTTTTTTTTTTGAAATGACATCCCGTTTCCCAAGAATACCATGTAGCCTTTAGTCAGTCTCGTTTCTTACAGCTCTCTGTGCTTTGCATGGTAATTAGCTGCTCGTGTTATCAGCAGCACGACGCTCCGGGCTATTTCTCCGGCAGCCGCCGCGTTATCCTCGGCAGCCGCCCGGGCTGCGGGAGCTCGGCAGGCTGCGCTGGCTGGGGAACAGCATCCCAGCGGGAAGAGCCTGAGCCCACTTTCCCTGACAGGTCCCCAGGACTTGCCAGAATTTCGCTGATGGTCCGCTGGAGGTTCAGTGAGGCAAGTTTGTTATGACAGATCGCAAAACAGAAAGGAGAACAAACCAGACGGGTTCGTCAGCGTCAGAGCAAACACCGGGGAGCAGCTCCCCAGCTTAGTTTGCGACGGCAGCCTCGAAGTCTTGATTTAGTTTTAATTTCCATTTAAAAAATAATAATTAAAGCGTTCATTGCACGAGTGTCCCGTGGCTATGAGAGGGTGGAGGGACCGCTTTGCCAGCGGCGGCGACGCCAGCCTTACGCAGGGGCTGCGTCACGAGCCGGCACCAGCGCAAGAGCGCTCGCACGGGCAAGTGCGCCGAAGCAAATCGCGTGTCGAGGGCTCCGTGCTGCTCGTTCCCCGCAGCTAAAGCAATCCCTTCTTTTCATTTACATTTCAAGAAACATTTGCCAGCTCTTGTTGGTTTGGTTTTTTTTTTTCCGAAGTTAAACTGTGGCCACAAAGTTAAATTCAGTTTGCCGGATTCCATGGCAGCGGATGTTCCTCTGTAATGTCAGCAGAGATTTTAGACCACCCACTGATGGTCTAGAAAGTAATGTTAAGATGTTCATAAGTACTCAAAGAAAAAAAAAATTAAGAAATTTCTATTTGGCACTCAAAAAATGAAAACCAAAGAGGAAAATGTAGAAACTGAGGGGTTTCCCCCAAATTTTATATCAGTTTTACATAGTCTTTAGTTTTATGTTTCCAGCTTATTTTTCACCATTTGAAATGCTGCATGATGATATTGAGAGGAAGATGTGAAAAGTTTTTACTTCTTGCCCAGAGAAATGATAGGATAGAAAGAAAAGCTAAAGTTTTAGTTGTGGAGTAATAGAAAGCAAAATTTCTTGCCGATGGGTACTTACAGAATTTTTTCACTACGCTTCTAGGAGAGTTATTCAGTTTTGTAACAGACGCTTGTTCCTAATCCTAGTCTGAAATAGCCTGTTGCCAAATTCACATTCAGTATTTTTATCCTCACAGGGAAAGTGAGATCATAATTTTATCATATGTTCAATGTAGTCTATACAGCATCAGATCATACGGTCATCTCATCCCTTCTTCTGTAAGATGGCAACAGACTAGAACAGACAACTTAAGGATGGCAGTGAATTTGTTGCTCTCTGAACAAGGCATTCATGATGAGGATTTTACACTCTCCACTGTTAGTGGGATAACAAGTGAACAAACTGGGGCTTGGGGAAGGAAAGGGGAAAAACAGGTGGAAACTCACAGAGAAGAGAGAAATAGCAATTATCTAATACTAATTTTTAAACTATTAAATATACAAAGATTGTTGTTTCTCTCCATCTTGCTAGGTTCACTGACAACATGAACACTTGTCCTCCTGCTCCTGTGACAAGAATATCACACATGGTGCTGTGCAGCTCCTCAGGGGCAGGTCTGAGGTCAGAGAGCAACTATCTGCTCAGGGCAGCAGGTTCTCTCCATCATCCATATATCAGATATGAGTAATTCTCCAAAGTCTCACTTCACCACATGTTTAGTACCTTTGCCTTTGAAATCAGTGGTGTAATTTGTAGTGAACTGTAAAGCTGATGGACTGTGTTTCACCAAGTAGAGTTAATGTGATTCATTTGTCTAACAATCAAAGGCCATATTCAGCAAAGATTCAGCAGGAGTGCAGGCAATAAAGCACTTACGACTTTCTATGAATTGGCGTGAAACAACAGCCACAAAAAATTGGAAAACATAAATTTTTCTTTTGCATATACATGGCTGTTGTTCTCCTGACCTTGGTTACAGCTGGTGGGCTTTAGGCAGCTGAAGATCCAGATGTCCTCAATCCCTCAGCTCAGACTGGAGAATGGTGATAAAAGTGTCCAGGACTAGCACAAATTGGTCTGTATGATCGTTTGGCTTTAGTATGCAGAAGTATCCATTTTTGAAAATGCCTTGTGATTTTTTGGATGCACAAATACAGATGTAGTAGAGAAGTCCTATTTCCAGATGAGAAGAACTCAGCAGTTTAGAAAAACTAATTGCTATATCTCCAGGTGCACACCTGAAAATTCAGAGCATCCAGGGGTTTTTTGAAAACAAGAGAAGACCAAGCTTACCTCTCTGCTAGCTCTCTGGGTACAGTAATTACCAGATGGATTTTTTTCTATCCCTCTTTTCCCACATGGGAAGACCTCAAGTCCCCTGCTTCCTGAGTTACTTCTGTTCTGCAAAAAGAAGGAAGCCTTTTATTGTGGGGGATTGCCAGGGAGTCTAGTGTGATGAAGGAAATCCCCTGACAGCTTGCTGGATGCAGCAGCCACCTGTATCTTGTGGAGAGCTGTAGGAGATGGGCACCCCCTTGGCATCCTCCGTCCAAGTGTGCCCTCTGTTCCCAGCTGTGCTGGGCAGTGCAAGCAGCCTGTGGGCAGAGGGCAGGCAGGAGGGAGGGGGTGTGTGCTCTGTGTCTCATGCTGCCTCGTCCTTGCTGGCAGAAATTTGGTTCCAGTGAGCACCCAGGCTGGATATGTAGGTGAGGCACCATCTGGATGGTTCTTGCCACATCTCTGATTTCCCCTGTGCAGAGTAGCTCTGGAGTGAGCCATACTGCTTGGGAGAGAGGAATTCTTCTGTGCCCTCAGTCCCACAATGCATGGGTGGGCTTAGGGTCGGCACTTGAGGAAATCACTGAGTCTTCTCAGGACTGCTGTGCCCACGCTCGGTGTTGCTGCCTGTGTTGCAATCTCTGCAGCTCTCCCCTCGGCATCACATCTACCCTGTACATCCCCAGGCTTTGCACAGACAGTGTCACTGCAGAGCTGTGCTGCACAAAGGATGTGGAGAGATGTTATTGACTTAATAGAAATAATTGTATATTGTATCCATGTACATGCAATAATTTCTTTGCTTCTGCTTACTCATATGCAGTAGAGCCAAAACTGCAGAAACAGCACCCAAAAGTGGTGTGAAAAAAGTCCGTTGAATTTATAGACAGATGTTGCAATCATATGTAAACACAGTAAATATTGCATCTTCCTGTGATGCTGATAGGGAATAATTTGAGAATTTTAAGCAGTGCAACTTTTCAGATGCTGGAAGACTTGGTCTCATTTTGAATCTGTAATAGAGGTCAGAATATATTTCATGTGACAACCATGTCCTCAGACCAATTTGTTGTTTCTTTTTAAAACATAAACAAACTGTCTTCTCATTTTGTTTACAGGACAGTGGAACAGGAGATAACAGCTGCATTGAAGAAATATTGCGGGTAGGAATCCTAAAAAATCATTTTTTCCAGTCCAATTTTGTTTGCTCTGAAAAGACAAGAGAATAATAAGAATATCACAATTACTGTTGTTAAAATTTTCCTACTTTGGATTGTCATCTTTCTAAGGAAAAAGTAGGCAAAATTATTTCCTTATGAAAAATAATTGAAAAATTTGTGAGAACAACCTTTCAAAGCCTGTGGATTTCACTGCTACTTTATGCCTGTACAGCTGACCTTCATGCATGGAGAAGCAGATAATGGGATAAATTATAAACTGAAATGTACAATGATGTTTCAGGTTTACAAACCATGCAAAGTGCATGTTTCCATTAATCATGACTGTCAAAAATCTTAATTTTGAAGGGAGGTCTAGGAAGGTCATTTGCCACCTGGTTTAATTATGTAATGTCATTATTTTCATTATGTCCATTACATAATGACAATGTGCAAAATCTGTAGTTATTTCCATATTTCATTATTATTTCTTTTAACTTTGTAATTTCTAGTTTATTTTCATGGAGCAAATTAATACACATCCAGACAGATCTTGGCTTGAATTAACTTGGATATTGATTATTTTCTGTGGCAGAAAAATTTATAAACAGTGAAACTTTTCTGTAATATTTTAACTCATGTAGTCATTTTGCTTTTTTTTCAAAAATGATAATTCAATAATTCACAATGCTTAAAAATCTGATGTAAGACTGATTGAAACACAAAGCTAGGTAGATGGAATGATAAAACCTCACTGTTACTGTGTGTGCTTCTACCTCTTGGATATTCCACGACCCAAATATTTCTGATGATTTATAAACTACAGGGTTATAAATATTTGGTTTGGAGGTTAGCAGTGCATCAAGCCTGTTGTTTCTAAAGGCATTTCTCCATTCTCCCGCAATATGTTAAGTGCAGCTTTTAATTCTTAAGCTGCATGAAGAGTTTATGGAAGGGTGATGATGTATTGCTTATGACTTCACTGGCAGAGTTTTTACTTAGCTAACAATTACAAAGTAGGCTTTGTTAGGACTCAGGTGCATATTCAACAAGCCTAAGCCACAGTCCCTGGTGGTTTGTTACAAATTAGTAGCAGATATCATGAATTCATGATGTGATGTGACACTCAGACTCCCATTTTCATTTTAAAGCAAGGCTTTTAAAATGAGCATTCAGAGAAATTGGTCTTCCTCCTTTAGTTTCTGTAGTTTGACTCATGCAATTGAGCTGAAATGTAGAAGAAGCACAATTCCTTCCACACAGAGGAAGAGGGGTGTGTAAGAGACCCCAGCTGAGAAGAAAAATGCACTGTATGACTAAAGATAGTAAAGTGCATCTCCAAAACAATGAACACAGCTGCTGCTCTCTTTTTTTTCCTTTGCAATGTTCCTCAAGAAATATTTTTGTCAAGCTTCATGGTGGGTAACCTCACCAATCTACCCCTCTTCCATGTCTGCAAACCTGGGCATCACTTTCTATTCTGACCTTCCCTTGTGTCTCTGTGCCTAGGAGTACACATAAATCTTCCAGGCTGTTACTCTATTGTATTTCTGACTGAAGCTCTTTATTTTCAAGGGTGTAAGTCTTTGGTCCAAAATTTTCATTACACACTTTGATTGCTGCTGCACCCTTTCCTAGTTTTTGACAAATGCAATGCTACCCACCTCCATTCATGCTGCTGCACAGATCATTTTCCTAGCTTGACATCTTGCCCAGAGACATTTGTCTTCACATCTCACCACTGTCATCTCCCTCTCTATCACATCAAGTATAGCTATTTATCTCTGATTTTAAGGCCTCCAGTCCATGCTAACATATTAAATTCCACTTTAGCTTAGCTGGTGATGTCAGAATATTGCTAAGTTTTACATCAATTCATTTCTCCAATGTTTCCCATCAGATCCGGGAAGAGCCTTGAAAACTTTCCCAATCAGCTCCATAGCTACCTCCCAGTCTTAAGGGGTTCCTTTTTTCCCAAGGACGGTAGAAAACCAGTGGTGAGGTCAGGGCTCTACCACTGTTTCTCATGCTTGAACATTTTTGTCCCAATTGTTTCTTGTAGTACTGTCAGGTCAGATACATCCATCTTCTCTCTTTTGTACTGAAAAAGGGATTTTCTATGTCAAGGAACTGCTGTGTATTACAAAAGCAATGCTTAGGTACTCTTGTAACACAGATCCAGATCTGCAGTTGTTGATGTTGCTGATAATTACTGAAAACAGCAACAGTAATAGTGTGCCTTTGCTGCTCACTTTGTAATTTACTGGCATCTCCAGTAAATCACATCTTCCATCCCTCTCCATGCCCTCTTTTTGTACTGAGCAGATCCATGAAGTTGTAACACAGATTTTCTACTTTTCTGAAACAGACTGTTTATAAGGAATGCCATTTCCATGGTTTTGTTGGAAGTGCTATTCACATCATAAAGCCCAAGTTTAGCTTCTTTTTAAACAATATATGAAGTTGCTATACAGGTGCCCAAAGGCAGACAATGAAAAGCCACAGCAGCTGAAATACTTGTCTTCCCCTCAGAAGAGATGGCTGGCCTGCTGGAATGTGTTTATTATGGGAAGAGCCACTCCTAATGTATGGAGCATCAGCAAAAGGAAGAAGATACTTAAAATTCATCCTTTTAAGGAAAGTTTCACTCTATTTGGGCTGTCTATTGCACAACACAAAGCAGAAAACATCCCCAATTTCTAAGGGATGTGTTCCCTGAACAAGTCAGGCTGTGGCTTTTCCATGAAGCAGATACTTCCATAGCATGTCCATGTTTCCTCAGTCAAAAGTGAGGGCAGTAGTAAGTGTGCCCCAGGTCTGTTCCATCTGCTTCCCTGTGTTCCCTTCCCCCAGCAGGTGAGAAAAAGCAGGTTTGTGCACAGATCTTGTCACCCTCTGGTTCCAGCATGTGGCCATGGCCAGAACTAACATCTGGACCTGGGCTGCAAATCAATTTAGGCGTAGCTTTAAAATCACCAAATCTGATGTTGCACTCGCTGTGACATGATTTTACAGTTTTTTGCTGTCTGCTGCAATACAGGTTGTCACAGCTTAAATCTAGCCTTTTTTGATATTGTTTTACCAAATGTATCAAAGCTCTATAGACTTTGTAAACTGACAGATACTTCTGCACAAAACTGCAGCTTCTAGAGAATGCCCCCAAGTACTGAAACACGGAACCTCTTCCAGTCCTCAAGGAGGTTGATTAACAAGACAGTAACCCTGTTGAGTTGGAGCTGTTGTAAGGTCTCCTGTAGAGTTTATAATCACTGCAGGAATCCTGAACCTCATCTAACCCCATGCACTAATTTATAGCAGCTTCTTCAAAGTGTGCTGACTTCTCTGTCCAGCTGCAGGCACACACTTTGAGGATTGAGAAATTTTCAAGACAGTCTTCAATGTAAATAACTAAGTAAGACTAAGTTACAGATGTAATGTCAAAACATGAGAGAAAATCCTCATTTCTTGCTAGTAGATTTAAAAGGCAATTCCTTGTAAGTTTTGCATTGTTCATGGAGGGCATGAGAGAAAACTTTGAAGTGGAAAATAAAAGTTAAGACTACACAAATACCCGTTGTTCCACCATGCATGGAGCAGTTGCTGTGTGAGTTCCTGAGACATTGCCAAAACCAACCTACTCACTTCCTTGCTAAAACACAGGCTGGCTAAGCAAGATTACTTCAGTTCTGGGGTCCCCAGCACAGGAAGGACATCAACCTGTTGGAGCAAGTCCAGAGGAGGCCACCAAGGGAAGGAGCACCTCTCCTGTGAGTAAAGGCTGAGACAACTGGAATTGTCCAGCCTGAAAAAGAGATAGCTTAGGGGTGACCTAATTACCGCCTTCCAGTAACTAAAGGAAGCCTACAAGAAAGAGAAAGACTTTCCACAAGAGCATGTAATGATGGGACAAGGGGGAATGAATTCAAACTAAAAGAGATTAGGTTTAGATTATATACTAGGAAGAAATTCTTCACTCTGAGAGTGGGGAGGCACTGGGACAGGTTGCCCAGAGAAGCTGTGGATGCCCCATCCCTGGAGGTGCTTAAGGCCAGACTGAATGGGGCCCTGAGCAACCTGGTCTCGTGGAAGGAGTCCCTGCCCTTGGTAGGAAAGCTGGAACTAGAAGATCTGGAAGGTTCCTTCTGACCCAAACCATTGAGTCTGTGATTCTATGATAGTAATTTTGGCTGATTTCTATTTGACTATATTAGTGTGTGGAACTGTGTATTTTGTTATGACTGTCAGGGTTTAAAGTAAACATTCATTTTACTGTAGTACCTTCAAGGAACAGGAGCAACAAGAGTCCTGCCTCTCCACAAAGTTAACTGTTGCAGTCGATATTGGAGGCACTCTGAGAATATTTGCTATGGAGCTAAGTAAGGGAGTGTGTCGAGTGCAGGCAGTTCTTGATTTGTAAGGTAAGTGGAGATTGATCTGGCTATTCTTACAGTCTTAGCTGTGATTTCCTAGAGCTGTGGTAGGAAACCCACAGGCAAGCTGAGCTTTTGATTATTGAAGAGGTTCTTTGTGAATTCCCTGGATTTTTTTGTGTAGACATGAGCAGTGTCATTGAACTGAGTAGAGAGAGGCATAGTTTGGCCTGCAAATGGTGTTTGGCTGCAGAATGTGAAGACAGCGGGAAGCTGGAGGAGCAACAGGAATGCAGAAGAAGGGCTGCAGAAAATCTGAGGACAGCCAGTCAACACAGAAAAAGCCACGTCCTTTGAAATGGCAGGGAGCAGTGGGGAGACAGGCTGGGGTCTGCAGTGGAGGAAAGATAATTTATTTCAGAAGAGATAGAAAAAGCCATTGGGAGGCAGGGAAAGGACATGGACTCCAGCTGAGAACATCCACCCTAGTGAAGGACAACTCTCCTTGGTGCCATGAACCTGCTATGCAAGGAGGGATAAGCACCCACAGATGGCTTTGAAATAGGTTGTGACTCCTCAAGGCCACAGGACATCCACTTATGAAAATGACATTTTAAGTGTGATGGCTTTGATAAG